AAGGTGTTTAGATAAAGAACAACTTGTTTTAACCAGGAATGATGGTCAAGAGGCGATGGTCATGCTTAGGATCATTTAAATCTTCAATCCTCAGATGATTTAACAGATTTTAATTATCATTTTACATTATAGCTCTATTGTTTAATATTTATTATCTGTGTTAAATTGAGCCCCCAGAACCAAAGTACTCGAACCAAAAATGGTTGTACTTTCCAGAGGCACAAAATATAATAAATTGTGTGTAAATATATATATATATATATATATATATATATATATATATATATATATATATATATATATATATATATATATATATATATTAGGAGTCAAAAAAAGTAAATTTTCAAAAAAAAAAACCATACCCCCTAAATTTGGGGAAAATAAATTGAAAACAAACCTCAAAAAGTTTGAGCACTCCCAGACCACTTTTGACACCCCCCCCCATCCCCTCAAGCTCAAAATTTAGGGAAAAAAGGACCAAAAAGTGACCATTTTCGGGCATCTTGAGGGAGGGGCTATATATATTTTTTTTCAATTTTTTTTTTTTACTTACTATACGAAGGCCTATATTTTAGTTTAAAACTGTATGGTTTTTTTATTACCCCTCAAAAATCTATGTTTGGTGGTATTGAAAATCATGAAAACTGGTGATTTTTTGCTTTTTTTTTTTGTTACGTCTATTGTTGTATAGTTATATTTTGGTACAACTTCTGAAAATTTTAAATTTTACATTTTTCTAATAATTTAAGATTAGTACATAAAATAAATATATTAGAAATGAGTGAAGCTAAAATAAGGTCAATGAAAATAGAACATTTTATTATAAAAGAGGCAAAACCAGCTATATTAGGTAGAAAAAATTTTTTAAATACTGGAATTAGTAATGATTCGTTTTTGGAATTATTAATGAGACGTTTTTCGAATGGTTCATTTGCAATTCTATATCAATCAGGTGTTGACCTTAAAGAAGTTAAAAGCAGTCAGTCTACCCCATATAGAAAAATGAAAAAAGAAAACGAAAACATCAACAATTGCAAAAGAAAATGTTAAAGTAGCCATTAATGCATCTCCATATCCATGTATAATTCATTTCGACGGCAAGACATTGTTTGAACTAAACAAAGGAAAAGTATTAAAGAGGGATAGAATGGCGGTTTTAGTTAACATTAATGGAGATTCTTACCTACTTGGAGTACCGCCGCTGTTGTCATCCACCGGTGAACATCAATTTTGTGGTATAATAAATTTAATTCAAGAATATCAACTTACATCAAAAACTTGAGCAACATGCTTCAATACAACATCATCCAATACTAGGACGAATAATGGGTTCGTTTCAAGAATATCTAAAGAACTGGATAAATATCTCCTCCAAATAGCCTGTAGACATCATGTGAGCGAACTAAGAATGCTTCACTTTTGGAAATTAGTGACCAATGATAAAACAAATGGACCTGATAATCTTCTTTTCAAAAAGTTAAAAAATACTTTTGAAAAACCTAATTTTAATTATAATCTAATTCAACTCTTACAGTTTGATTGGAATAACGTTAAAAGCAATCTTTTAAAGAAGGCAGCTGAGAATTCATTAACATTTTGCATAGAGCTTGATAGAGATAACAGAAGTGAGCTTGCAGAATTAGTTGTCACCTACATATCCCCTGTTACCTATAAAGTAAGAAAAACAGGTGCTATTCATCATGCAAGATTTTTAGGAAAAGCAATTTATAATCTAAAACTTCAACTTCTATCCAATTAGCTTTCATTTGTTCTAGAAAAAGATAAAATAAAAACTGAAATTAGGCTTATTACAGAATTTATTATTTGCTTTTATGCAAAATGGTATTTACAATCTGAGGATGTCATCAAAGCTCCTTTTCTTGATATTACAGCCATACATCAAATGCATCTGCACAAGAAAGTATGTACAAACCCAGCTGCTGTTGATGCTATATTGGAATCTCAGTATAAACATTGTTGGTATTTGGACTCAACAATGATACCTCTAGCTTTGCTAGATGATGATTTAACATTAGAGGAGAAGACAAAAATTGCATCAGCAATTCTTTTATTTGACATACCTAGCTCTGGCTATTATAAGCTTGAGAACAAAGTAAAACAAGATATCAAGAAAATTTATAAAATGAATATAAATATTGGAAAAAAACCACCATCCTTGTCTGTCTTAGTTGATGACTTTTCTTACCTGATTTTTGACATGATTGGTCTTGATAAGCAACGAGTTAAAGATCGGCTCTCATTTCCAGCAAAATATTGGCATACCTAATCTTGCTTTAAAAGTTTTCAAAAATATGCTGAAACTTTGATTTTTGTAAATGACCATTCAGAATGGTCTACAGGTATGATGGCGCAGTATATTCAAAGATATTCGAATGAAACTGAAAAACAAAACAGTTTGCTCACTGTAGACAAAGTTCGATCTGTATTTAGATCACCAGAACAAGAATCTAGTAAAATTTCAAAGATTAAGTTAAATGATGAGCTTGGTGTGATGCAGAAAAAGATAAAGAGATAAACCTGATTAATAGAAATGTATTGAGTTTTTATCTGTTATAATATTTTAAATATACAATTATTTTTTTGTTTATTTATTTCAATAAAGATAAATAGCGGTTTTTTCAATGTATATAAATGGTTGCTCCTCGTCCATGTTTTGGAATAGAATAGAAGGGTTCTTTTGTGTTTATATACACTTTTCTTATTTATTTAATTAAGGTTACTATATTGTTAGTTACTTAGAGTTAATATTCATATATATATATATATATATATATATATATATATATATATATATATATATATATATATATATATATATATATATATACAGGGGCTATTCTAGATCATTTTCAGCAGCGCCGACTGTTTTTGGGCGCCGCCCAAATTGAAAATTGAGGACCTTTTTTTTTTTTAACAAAATCGGCGATTTTTTTACAGAAAATTGTTTTTTGTTTTGGCAAATATTGTATATTTTAAGGGAAATATCGTTGCGTATCGTTTTTTCTGAAATGAACATTATTTTGAAATTTTTATATAATTTCGCTTCATTTGAGTACCAGGTTGACATAATTTTTAAAAACTTTTTTTTGAAAATATTAGGGACCTATTAAATATTCAAGGGTCTTGAGGGACCCTTTAAATTATTTTTTATTCAAAAAAAATTTCAACTTAGTGTTTTTGTATTAGATAGAACATATTTAGGGGATGAGAGCAGATTATTTTCAAAAAAGTTGTTTTTTGGGACACCCTACCCTTCCCCCCCCCTCCCCCATAAAATACAAATTTTCATGATTTTCAATACCACGAAACATAAATTTTTGAGGGGTAATAAAAAACCATACAGTTTTAAACTAAAATATAGGCCTTCATATAGTAAGTATTAAGTTGGGAGTTACTAGGAAAAAAAAGAACAGAGTTATAGAGCAAGGAAACGGTTGACAGAAGACTTGAAAAGTTGAAGGTTGTATGAGTCAGGAAAACATGAAGATGGGAGAGAGTTCCAAAGGATTGAAGTGCGGGGAAAAAAACTAGATGAATAAAAGTTTTTAGAACATGCAGGGACAGATACAGTAAACGAATGAGACTTAGCTGAATGACGAGTAAAACGAGAATGAATTTTAGTTGATGGAACTAGAGATGATAACTCCTTTGAGCAGTAACCATGATAGTATTTGTAGAAAAGAGAAAGAGATGCAACTTTACGACGATGGGAAAGAGGTTCAAGCTTAGCAGATAGCAGTCCAGGTCCAACAACATTTATAATGCGATTTTGGACCTTGTCAAGAAGAGAAAGTGAATCGTTAGAAGAACCAGCCCAAATATGACAACAGTATTCCATACAGGGACAAATAAGAGATTTGTAGAGGTAGAGAATGGAATCAGAAGTAAGGAAATGGCGAGCACGATAAAGAGAAGCAACCTTAGCAGAAGCTAATTTAGCAATCGATTGTATATATGGTTTCCATGAAAGGTCAGTAGTAAGCGATAATCCAAGAAGACGTAAAGAGGAGGACTCAGTAAGAGGATTGCCATTCATTAATATAGGAATGTTGACCATATTACGGTAGTTGTTTGCAGTAAGCAACTGGGTTTTTTTAGAGTTGAAATTCACAAGCCACTGGGAACCCCAATCTATTACTGAAGTGAGATCGGATTCAAGATCAGCTGCTTGTTCTAGGCGATCGAAAAGAGAAGACTTTTTGTCAAGACAGGAGTATAAAGTTGAGTCATCAGCAAAAAGAGCTACTTTAGATGAAAGGTTGTCAGGAAGATCGTTTATGTAGATAAGAAACAAAACAGGGCCCAGGATGGAACCTTGGGGAACCCCAGAGGTTACTGGAAATAAAGAAGAGTGTTGGCCTTCAAGGATAACTTTAATAAATCGGTTAGAAAGAAATAATTTGATAATCTCAAAAACTTTCCCAGAAATACCATATGAAGCAAGCTTATGGAGAAGACCAGCATAGGGGGGGGGTCAAAAGTGGTCCAGAAGCGCTCAAACTTTTTGAGGCTTATTTTCAAGATATTTGCCCCAAATTTAGGGGGTATGGTTTTTTTGCTTTGAAAATTTACTTTTTTTGACTCCCTTTAATATATATATATATATATATATATATATATATATATATATATATATATATATATATATATATATATATATATATATATATATATATATATATATATATTTATATATATATATATATATTTATATATATATATATATTTATATATATATATATATATATATTTATATATATTTATATATATATATATATATATATATATATATATATATATATATTTATATATATATATTTATATATATATATTTATATATATATATATATATATATATATATATATATATATATATATATATATATATATATATTTATATATATATATTTATATATATATATTTATATATATATATATATATATATATATATATATATAAAGTTTTTTTATTTCAGATACTTTAAACACAAACCAATTTGAACCCAACAATATAGCAGCGTATGAAAACGTGTTTAAACAGCATCCAAAAGTATACTCCTATTCTCTTTCATGTAAAGACATACCACGTGAAGAAGATATGCTAGAAGACGAGGACGAGGAGCATTCTGAAAGATCTCTAAATGAGGTTAGTTTAATTAAAATACTGCAGATACTGAAACCTTGATTCTTCATATTTATTACTTTTTCTAGTTTTCTTATTGTATTTTTATATATCTATCCGTTTACTTTAGGTACTAGCAGTTTCTGTTTCTGACTTTATGCAAGATGGCAGTTCTTTATTATTAACACAAATAAATGATACAAACACTAATAAAACCCGTGAAGATGAATCCAATTCTATATCTTCGCCAAATATTCTAACTGCTGCTACTCTTGATGATGTAGGTTTATCATTAAATGAACAGTATACTATAATTGGTACCACTTTAAGTGTAGATGGACAAACTATACAAGTGCCCTACGTTGGCATATCAGCTGCATCACTAAGTAAAAGTGTAATGGACGCTCAGAAGTTTCATAGTCAGCAGCAGGACTTTAGACATTTAAACGAATTAGAAATGCAAGATGTTACCGAAAGTACTGAAGGAAAAGAAACGGAACTTATCATTGCAACTAAAAACGAGATGAGATTAAGTTGTTTAGAAATGGGAGTTGATGTCTTAGCGAGCGATGATTTAACAAGAAATAGTCACATGTAAAAAAAAAAAATTGTTTGCTTTAGTAATAAGTTAGGGTTAACTTCTTCTTAACTCCATGTTCATTGATCACAAATGAACTTTTATTAGAGTACTCTTATTATTAAAATGTCACCAATATTATAAAAAATTTTATGCTTTTATATTAAGAGTGAAAAGATATTTTTTTTCCAAGAGCTTTAGTTTTAAGATTTAGTTCGATTACTAAAAAATGCAGTATTAAGATTTTTTAAGTAATCGTTTTATTGAAAACAATTAGACATTAAATGTTTTAAAAAAATAAATTCTCCCGCATTAAAAATATAAATCCTCAAAATAGATTTTTGAAACCTGTGATTCTTTTAAAACTCAAGTTAATATGAAATTATTAATTTTTTATAAAGTGTCACAAAAAAAAAGGTTTTGACAAAATTTATTTTAATCATTATTCTCGAACTTAATATTAAAAAGCTATACAAAGTTGATATAGTTATATAGTACTTAAGATATAAAATGCTTCGATAAAATCTGCTTGAATAAAAGTATAACATTTAAAATAAGCGTTGGATTAAAATATGTTTTCTCATTTTTGGAGTATAATGATAAGACAAAATTTGTCTACTTCTTGCCCCGGCGATGTAGATAATTTTTATAAATTACGACTGTAAATTTTATCGGCAAAAAGTGTAAATAAATTTGAAAAAAATATTTTTTAACAATATACGTTTAAATCATTACGTTTATGTACTTAATACGTATATGTACGTATTAATTGTTTAAAACATACGTTTTCTCAAAAAACATTTCTTAAACGTATTGATCAAAATATGTTTTCTTAAAACATTTTTTTGTTTTTACTTGGACACTTTTAAAAATAGACCCTTAATACTCTTATACATAAAAAAACTAAAGATCCAGGGGCGGCCTTTTTAGTAAAAAGTTTTTTCATTAGTTTTTAACAAAGTAAAAATTTTCTTTTTACGCTGAAGAACATAGAGTTAAGAAGTTGTAGTAATTTAAGTATTCATATTTATATATTCTGCATATTTATATAAAACTTTGTGAAAAAGTGTATAACTGTATTTCAAAAATCAATATTTAAATTTCTTTATTTTAAAAATGGTTTATGTAGAGAGAAAAAGTTTCTTAAAACATATAAAATTATAATTTACTTTAAAAAATTTTTTAACGCTTTGGTAGCTGTTGCGCAAACATCGGTGATTAAGATTAAGTACCCATGTAAATAATATTTAGATTACCTGACTAAAATGTGCGGATTAATTGCAATCGGTATAAAAAGTTTAAAAACATGTGGAAATAGACTTAAAAAGTGTGGATTCCACATGTTTTTAAATAAGGTGGAGCAATTTCCATAGCAAAATAAAAGAGCTTTTAAAATAAACATTATGTCATAATATATATAACAAATGTCGTTTTGTTAGTTGCGGTCGGCGCTCTTTTGTTTATATATTTATTTAAGAAAAAATAATTTTTCCTGGGAAATACATTTTAAATTTCCCGTTTTCCAAAATCAAAAACAAGTCGAGAATTGATTCTTTCTATCTATTACTGGTTGTCGATTCCTACGACGTTTGTATTTTTGAACCATCTTGATTACAAAGACGACAACTTGGGCTCGCAAGTTATAAAAATAAAAACTGAAACAATATGACAGATAAAAATGTAGACAAAATGCATGTCTGTGTATGTATGTATATATGTATAAAAAATTCAAGTTTGAAAATAAAGTTTCAAAAAATTTTTTTATCTTTCCTGTAAAACCAGGATTTGTGGATGAATTATCATCTTTATTCTTCGGGGTTTTAATTCAGTCCAGCTCAATTAGAAATTCAATTAAAAAATAGAACTAAAGTTCAATTAGAAAATAGAACTAAAGTTCAATTAGAAAATAGAACTAAAGTTCAATTAGAAAATAGAACTAAAGTTCAATTAGAAAATAGAACTAAAGTTCAATTAGAAAATAAAACTAAAGTTCAATTAGAAAATAGAACTAAAGTTCAATTAGATTCAAAAATCTTAAAACACAATTAGATCCACCAAATCCAGCATCATTTTAGCCATGCCTAAAAATAATTTTTGGTTTCACGAAAATTTTTCAGATTTTTATCAGTGAATAAGATATCAACAATTTTACTTACGTCGTGTTTATAAACGGGGTTCATGTAGTGAAATTATGTTAACAATTTAATCAAGTTCGTATAAAAAATAATAATCATTATATACTTAAACATTAAGAAAAATAAAAGTTTATAAATAATAAAAAATATTTTCTAAAATGCTTTTAAAAGTTAAGGCTCGTTTAAAAGTCATTTTGTGGAATTTTTGAAATTACATGCTTGTGAGTTTAAGATCAGTAAAAAAGTAAAAAAACAAACAAATGCAACTAAAAAAACTAAATAGCTGATAATTTTGTGGGTTAAGCGTTGGTGTAGTTAAATTTTTTTTCTCGCATTCAGAAATTATAACTTTGGCACATCCACAGATTATTTACTTAAATTTAACTCTTTCCGTTCTAATTAAAAAATACAGTTTTTTGAAGAAATTTTAAATTGTTCAACAGTCCACTATTTATAAGGGAGTTATTTGAAAAAAAAATAGAATTAAAGAGCAAATAAACGTTTGACGGAAAACTTAAAAAGTTGTAGATTGTATGAGTCAGAAAAATATCAAGATTGGAGAGAGTTCAAAGGATTGAGGTGCGGGGAAAAAAACTAGAGAAATAAAAGTTTTTAGAGCATGCAGGGACAAAGACAATAAAAAAAAAATATTTTGCTGAATGACGAGTCAAAAAAAAGAATTTTAGTTTATGGAACTTGAGATGATAGCTCCTTTGAGCAGTGACTATAATAGGATTTGTAGAAAAGAAAAAAAGATGCAACTTATGGCAATGGGAAAGAGGCTCAAACTCGGTAGGTAAAGTAGATCCAATTACGTTTCCAATACTTTTTTGGACCTTGTCTAGAAGAGGAAAAGTATAATTAGAAACCAACCCAAATATGATAACAGCATTCCGTACAGGGGCGAGTAAGAGATTTTTAGAGATAGAGAATGGAGTCACGAATATTATTATGGTGAGTACGATAAAGAGAAGCACTTTTAGGGGGCGTTCATAAAGTACGTACGAATTAAAACCATTGATTTAGGAATCCCCTTCCCCTTTTACGTACCTGTATGCTTTCGAACCCCCGCCCCACCCTACTAAACCCCGCCCTACCCCACCCAGCGCACGTACACGTTATATTTCACAAAACTTTTCCCCAACACATAGTTTTTAAAAACTTTAAAAATAGCAGATTTTAGTTACTTCAACGTTTCTCTGTTAGATTAAAATAACATTGATTTTTTTTTTTTTATACCCATTCTTACTAGAGATAAGGAGAGAGAAAAAAAGCGCATACGTACTAGCTATCTTTAACACCCACCCCCTTGGATGCATTTATACGTTTTTGTGTAATTCTTACTCCCCACATACCTGCGCATGTACTTTATGAAAGACCCCTTATAATGGTTATACTTTCTTTGGTAATATTTCCTTTCTTTGATGAGCGCAATATTTTGAGCTCAACAACTTCATATCGCACAAGTATAAACACAAAAAGTTCGTAAATGTAACTTTTTTTAGAAGGAAATCTTGGTTTTAAAAATAAATTAAATCTATGTTGAACACACACATATCAACTAACCCGCATGTACATGTATAAGTTTATTTAAGATCATTACCTAATTTGAAAATATCTAAGGTGTGCATTTTTCGTTTAGCAATACATATATCAAAAAAATTGTTTTTTTATTTTTGTCTCTTTCAAACGTGTCTGAGTATTCCTTGATATAAAAACTCTTGATCTCAATTCTAAAGGGAAGCGCGCTTACAAATCGCAAAGCTAAAAATAAGTCAATGCGGTTTTGCGCGCTGCAGCTGCTGTCTTTGTTTAGGGAGAAATACTTGCGCTGCAATTTTGTAAATTTGGACATTTTTATGCATAAACATATTGTAAAAAATTAAAAATTCTAAATAAAGTTAGACAAATATGCTTCACAAATTGTTTACAGTTACAGCTTCTTGTAAACATCATCAATATGAGCAAGGTGGGCATTTGTCGAATTTGCAAAGATATTGTCCACAACATATGTAGCCAGCTTTGGAGCAGAAAACCAATCCGTATGGAAAATCCATACATATAGCACTTTTATTTTTTCTTTAATCCTCTATTATACAAAAAAGTAATGACGATTTAATTTATTGGAAACATAAAGAGAAGTTTCCACTGCTAAAAAAGTTAGCACTTAAGTTACTAACACCATCGGCATCCTCTTTATTTTTGAAAGATTGTTTTCATTATTTATGAGAAAAAGCGATCCCGGCTAAAAATGTTAATATCTCCATGTTGTGGTAAAAGAAATATAAATGAGTGGTAAACTGATGTATTTATTGCGCATATATAATTTTAGTAGTGTTTTGATAATAACAATAATAGTAATAACAATATTAAATAGAAACCATTGACATTAGATTATATAAAAATCTAAGATTTCTATCTTTACATGAAATATCCAATTCATAAAAAACCGGATAAAGTTATTATCCGGCCAAATATCGGATACCAAACAATACTCCTATCCAACCCCGATATCCAGCCGGATAGCTTTTTTTTTTTTTAAGTTGATTTAGTGCCTCAAGCGGTCTTATCACAGAGCACCGCGGAAAAGCATTTAATAGGAAGTTCACGCTTCCTTCTCAACCGATGTCGCAAAACTTGTTCAGAGGTGGGGTTTAAATCACGGATCTTACGTTTCTGAGGCAAGTGCGCTATCACTGCGCCACAGCTGCACAACCACTGCGCCACGGTTGGGACACCCCTAGAATAAACTATAAACTGTTGAAATTTTTTGAGTTTTGTAACTTTAGAAAAGTGGAAATTAGGCTTAGTTACAAACCACCCAAACAAATTCACTCAGTTACAAACCACCCAAACAAACCCACTCAGTTACAAACAACCCAAATAATGCAGCTGTTTTACAATTCTTTGATCAGTATATATATATATATTATAAATTTTTAATTTATTAATTATAATTATTTTGCAACTAAAGGAACAGCATAGACAAAATAGTTGATCAAATCATTTTCTTGCGAGTTCGATACCAACCACGTCCGTGGTAGTATTATAAAAAGTGCAGTGTAATAAAAATTAACTTGGAATTTGATTTTTATAAAGGCTGCCGTGGTGGCTATAGATTATGTTGGTATAAACAAATATTAATAAAAAATTGCGTCAGCGGCATTACGTTGAAAAATCTGATGTTATCTGTTACGTTTAACATAAATACTTTTTGCACATGACAAGTTAATATTTGAATAAGGTTGCCTTGGTTGTATAGGTTTTTTTTTGTTTAGAGATTTTGTTTAGCGTCAAAATCTCTAAACAAAAAAATTAACTCAAAAAATTACGGAGCATTACAAGCTTTTACATTTTGGAATATAATCGCATAACCACTGTATATCATGTTTGATAAAAATGCTTTCAAGGGTTTTTAGTTATTGTTCTTTTATATTTGCATTTTTTTTCCGAAGGCTCATAAGGGCCATTATACATGAGAAAGCTACTCTTTTTTTTCTCTACCTACTTGAAAACATAGATGCAAAACTCCACTTTTTATTGATTTAACTCCACTTTTTATTGATTTTCAGGTTTTAATGGATTATTAGCATATAAAAGAATTTCTATCAGTTAGTATAAAAATAACATAGATTAAAGCACTTTTGTGTCATTAAACACATAATTTGGTAGAAAATATGAATTCCCTACATATAAAATTATTCAGTTTTTTTCTTTCTCCTGAACAATTTGCGAAAATGGAGTTACATCGTTTTTGCACCCATTTCTTCAATTGTCATTACTTGTAAGAAGTTGTAAAAAAAGAATGAGTTATAATTTTGACATGAATTAATTTATTTTGAAAAGAATCCTAACAAGTAACGCTGTGTTTATGAAATTATGAAAACATTTATGAAATAGTAATAAAAAAATAAAATTATAAAAAACTAAAAAATTCTTAAATAAATCGGTTTTTTGTTCCTTCAATGAAGTCTAATGCTCTCGTAAATTTTCCTTCTCTAAATAACCGATTCAATTGAGATTCAATTGTTAGATTAGTGATGAATCCAGAGGGAAGGGGGATGCATCACCACCACCAGAATCTGAAAGTTCTAAAATATCCGACAAATTGAGAACCTTAATAAAAAAATATTTGCCACAATTTTTTTGTCACAAAATGTTTTTTATATATAAAATTTTTAATCAATGAGCTTCTTTTCATTCTCTTTTTGACATTTGGGGTCTCCTAAAAAAGTGTTAAAAAAAAAATTATAAATGTTTAATTTTTTGTGCCATTGATATAATATACATTTTTATAATTTATTTATTTTATTTATTATAATTTATAACTTTTTGCATTAACTTGTCAAATACAATATGAGAACTATATATTAACTAACAATAATATACATTTTATTTTACTTAAAATAAATAGTTATTCTATACTACGAAAAAACTCCATTAACTTGCTGTGTTACACGAATAAAAGTTGTTCTTTTTGATAACTCTTTTAACTTAGACGCACCTACATAAGTGCATGCTGATCTAAGACCACCTAGAATATCTTGAATGGTGTGTTTCACTTTTCCTCTATAAGGTATTTCAACAGATTTACCCTCTGAAGCTCTGTATTCAGCAACATCACCAGTGTGTTTTTTCATAGCAGTTTCAGAACTCATTCCATAAAATATTTTCATTTGTCGTCCATCTCGCTCAATTAACTCACCTCCACATTCATCATGTCCTGCTAGCATTCCTCCAAGCATAACAAAATCGGCTCCAGCTCCAAAAGCCTTTGCAATATCTCCAGGACATACACATCCACCATCAGATATAATATGTCCATTTAAACCATGTGCAGCATCAGCACATTCCAAAACTGCACTGAGCTGAGGATAGCCAACCCCAGTCTTTTTACGAGTTGTACATACAGAACCTGGACCAATACCTACTTTAATAATATCTGCACCTTCTAATAACAGCTGCTCAATCATTTCACCTGTTACAACATTACCAGCCATTATTATATGCTCAGGGAACAAACCCCTCATTTTTTTAACAAATTTAACAAAATACTCAGAATAACCATTGGCAACGTCCAAGCAAAGGGCATTGATTTGTGGAATAGCAACTAAAACTTCTTCAATTTTTTTCCCATCATTTTCTGTCATTCCACTTGTGTATATTACATAAGGTAAAACTTCAGGATGTTCTTTTGCAAAATTTAACCAGTCTTGAACAGAATAATGTTTATGTATGCAAGTAAGAAGTTGATACTTAGATAAAACAATTGCCATTTCAAAAGTACCAATAGTATCCATATTAGCAGCAATAATCGGAACAACGTCATCTGGAAACTTTCTTTTTGAATGGCGAAACACATGTTGTCTTGTTATATCAACATCAGCTCTTGATTTGATTGTACTTCTCTTTGGTCTGATTAAAACATCTTTAAAATCTAGTTTTACATCATTTTCTAAATGAGGCATTCTAAAAAATTGAAAAAAAAAATTCAATTAATGTTATAAAAACTAAAAGTTAGCATTACTATTTTAAAATTGTGTTTACATAATACAAGCTACATCACATATGTGCATTTATGTGTGTTTGTGTGTGTGTGTGTGTGTGTGTGTGTGTGTGTGTGTGTGTGTGTGTGTGTGTGTGTGTGTGTGTGTGTGTAGAGAGAGAGAGAGAGAGAGAGAGAGAGAGATTATTTTTATCCAACAGCTGTCAGATCATTTTATTACAACAGAAACTTGTCAGATCATTTTATTACAACAGAAACTGTTTTAATTGAACTTATCAAAATATAACTTGTTTTGATTGAGTTTATATAATTTAAAAAGACATATTTCTTACACTTCAATAGCACTATCACTTGCAATAACATGAAATCACCATATTATGTTATATATAATATATATGATATATAATATATCATAAATAATAATTTATTTACCAAACAACACAAGAAAAGTTTTTTTTATACACATTTATACTGTAAGCATCATTTTTTTAATCCTTTGCTTTAGTCTTAACAAATTTATGTCTTTATTAATGACATAACAATAAAAAACAAAGTAACTGTTAGAGATAAGTGATTGTCTTTTTTTCTTTTTCTTTTTATTTATATACCCAATAAAAAAAAGGTTATCTTAATGAATAACTTAATTTGTGATATGTATTTCATAACCTATATATAAAAAAAAAAAACTGTATATTTTTAGTTATAAAAAAATGTTTAAAATTAAAATAAAAAAGTTAATTAGTATTTTAAAAAACTGAAATGGGATTTAATAAAATAATTAAATATTATAATTTAATTCAGTTATTGTAATATATAATCGCAAATTCAAGTCTTAATCTTCATTGAAATAAATTTGGTCTATAAATCTATATACATATAAAAGTGTAAATTTATATAAGATTAAAAGAATACGTTTCCAAATTTACAAACTTTAGTTCAAAAATTCAAACTACTCAATTTAAAATAAAAAAATTCAAATTGAAGGCGTTAAAGTAATGCAGCGGACTCACCAAACCACACGGGAATAATAAATTTGACGTACGGGCAAGGGGTCGGTCTAAAAATTACGTTACGCAAGTTTTGACAAAAGTTTTAACCCTTTTCTTCCTTGTCACAACATCGTAATTCTTTAGTAACAAAGTCACCACAAAATCACTTATTCTCCCACCCTTAACAAAATGATTACTTTTACCAAGTTATGCAATGCGTAGTAAATAATTAATAGATTATGTATCACATAATACCTATCATAATATGACATATACTATATATTTTGAAACAAAATTTCAAATATCAGTAATGTTAAATGCAAACATAACGTGATTCCCAAATGCAAAAATTTTTTGAAAAAAAATCAAAAAATTGTTAACTAGTATTTTTCGCTGTCAAATTCTGTTTTTATCGTTATAAATATTAGCTAGTCGCTAGCTATTCGCTGGCCAATTTTTTACAGAAAATACCCAATGTCTATAAATAATAATCTCCCTTCTTCCTCTCCTTCAAAAGTGTACGGGAAACTTGGAATCTTGAAATTGATTTTCAATAACTTGAGTAATTTTTGCAAAACTCTTTTAAACAAATTAAAATAAAATAATTAATTAAAATAACAAGAAAAAGTTTTTGCGATAAATAAAATAACTGAAAATTCAATATAATGTAAATTTAATTACATGTGATAATTTTTTTAACATTTTTTTTTTTTTTTTTTTGTAGATTGTTATAAAGGTTTTAAAGATGTTATATTTGTTTAATTTGTTTCCGGTTCTTATGATGAATTTATTCTGCTCACGAAATCAGGTATTTCAACTTAAGAAGATCTGCCTCTAAATGATGCAGAAGTTACAGGTTCTTAAAAAAAATCTTACCCAACTTTTTTTATTTAGTAATTATATTTATATCAATGTTATAGTTGTAAAAGTTTTCTATTAATAAGATTGCTTTTTATTGAATACAAATAAAACAAACCAAAAACAAATTGAAACGCTGTTTTATTTTTCAATTAATATATAAATATAAATCTTATTGATTAAATTATTACAACCTGTTTTTTTGATATTTTTAATATGTATTGTTGTCGTGACTGAAAGTAGACGTGTCATATTATGTTTTTAATATGTATTGTTGTCGTGATTAAAAGTAGACGTGTCATATTATGTTTTTAATATGTATTGTTATCGGGACTGAAAGTAGATGTGTCATATTATGTTTTTAATGTGTATTGTTGGTAATATCGTGACTCAAAGTAGACGTGTCATATTATGTTTTTAATGTGTATTGTTGGTAATATCGCGACTGAAAGTAGACGTGTCATATTATGTTTTTAATATGTATTGTTTGTAATATCGTGACTGAAAGTAGACGTGTCATATTATGTTTATAATATGTATTGTTATCGTGACTGAAAGCAGACGTGTCATATTATGTTTTTAATATGTATTGTTGTCCTGATTGAAAGTAGACGTGTCATATAATGTTTTTAATATGTATTGTTGTCGTGATTGAAAGTAGACGTGTCATATTATGTTTTTAATATGTATTGTTATCGGGACTGAAAGTAGACGTGTCATATTATGTTTTTAATATGTATTGTTGTCGTGATTGAAAGTAGACGTGTCATATTATGTTTTTAATATGTATTGTTGTCGTGACTGAAAGTAGACGTGTCATATTATGTTTTTAATGTGTATTGTTGGTAATATCGTGACTGAAAGTAGACGTGTCATATTATGTTTTTAATATGTATTGTTGTCGTGACTGAAAGTAGACGTGTCATATTATGTTTTTAATATGTATTGTTGTCGGGACTGAAAGTAGATGTGTCATATTATGTTTTTAATGTGTATTGTTGGTAATATCGTGACTGAAAGTAGACGTGTCATATTATGTTTTTAATATGTATTGTTGTCGTGACTGAAAGTAGACGTGTCATATTATGTTTTTAATATGTGTTGTTATCGTGACTGAAAGCAGACGTGTCATATTATGTTTTTAATATGTATTGTTGTCGTGACTGAAAGTAGACGTGTCATATTATGTTTTTAATATGTATTATTGTCGTGACTGAAAGTAGGTGTGCCATTTTATGTTTTTAATATGTATTGATGGTAATATTGTGACTGAAAGTAGACGTGTTATATTATGTTTTTAATATGTATTGTCTGTAATTCTTTATTGTTTTTCTAAAATAAAAAAGCGAGTTTTGTTTAATAGACTTTATTCTTTTATAAATGTTAATAACATTCTTTACGATAAGCAGTTTCGATTTAAATCTGAGCATTCCACCGACCATGCAATTACTCACCTTGTTCATGGTATATTTAAAGCTTTTAATGAAGGCAAGTTTACCTAAGGTGTATTCATTTATTTAAGTAAAGCTTTTGAAACATTCAATCACCAAGATATTCTATCCGAGCTCAAAAGTTATGGTTTAATAAATACTAATTTGCAATTTTTTTTAATTTTTTTATTACAATCATTTTTACAATTTCTATTACAAATTTATGTGAATATATAAGACTAGATATTCCAATAAGATTTCTGGATCTTTTTATTGATAACAAATTAATAAAAAGAGAGCGACCAATAAAGTTTCTAGGTATGACACTGGATGAAAATTTAACCTGAAGGGACCACATAGGCTTAATTGAAAATAAAAACATCAAAAAATATGGGTATATTGTACTAATCCAATGTTTGAAAAACTTTTTTGCAAAAAGATAAATCACATAAATCCTACCAGATTTTCAAAAAACAATTATATTCAATCCAAAACATATTATTCAGCTACTAAATTCTCAGTTACTAACCGAGGGCCTAAGCTGTGAAACACTCTATTAAATAATGAACTGAAAACTAATTCTTCTTTAAATCTTTTTAAAATAAAAGTTAAACATTTATTGGCAAATGAAAATGAATTAAAGTTTTTCTAAAAATCATTTTAAATTAGTTAATAATAATAATAATAGCAGTAATAATAGTAACAATAATAATAATAGCAATAATAACAATAATAATTATAATAACAAAAATAGCAATTGTAAATTATTTTCTTATTGGCAAATAAATAAATACACAATACACAAAAACAAATTTTTCAAAGTATTTTCATATATATTTAAATATTTCAGAAGCATCCACGCATGTTTTTATAAATAGGTTTGTTAACAAATGAAACAATTCTTTATTTTGCTGTCAAAGTCACTATACACCCATTTCCAGTTTCAAACTCTTTAGAAATTATGACTTCTAAAGAGTTTGAAAATTCCTTTAAAATGTCTAAACCTAACAAAGCAATAGGCTGGATGGTGTTATAGGCAAAATTACCTTATATTATCATTATAAGGTAATTTTATTAGATATCAATTAGAATAGAGCCTATTGACCGTTTCAAGCATTGTCAATACGCCAAATGAGAATCCGCAAGTGATTGTTGAAAAGAAGATGCATTCATTGGCAGGATAACTCTGCGGGTTGTACGATACGAGTTCAAATCCTACCGACTCAACTCAGCGCTTGAGTAGTACTTCGGTACGCAAATGTTGTCAATAACGGACGCTACGTAGGATTAGTCTTAATGACCTTTTGTGTCTGTTCCTATGCTAAGCCAACAATATCTTCGGAAATAAGAACATTTTATAAAAAAATATAGCATGAAAATTCCAATAAATAAAATAAAAAGTAAAAATTCACAAAGAGCGACTGATTGGCTGACTTTTTCAAAAATGAGATCAGTCAAGCATTTACCGTAAATGGTTTTCAATATCGCAAGATAACAACCAATTTCGCTATCGCGAGTTGATAACCGACAAAAATCGATGATATGGACCAAATATCGGGCAAATTCTCATCCAAAGGAAAAAGTCCAACGGTGTCCGATCGCATGATTATGTTGGCTAATTAACATTGCTAGGACATGAGATAACACGGCTATTAATTTTTTGCGAAAGAAAAAAAAACTTTTTTA